GTAGTAGTAGTAGTAGTAGTAGTAGTAGTAGTAGTAGTAGTAGTAGTAGTATATGTAATAGGACTCCATGCTGTCCAATTAAGAAATAATTTGACGAGGAAAATTCCGAGGACTGACAAAATTGGATGAGGCCGTAGACCGAGTCTAATTATTTCTTGATTGGGGAGCATGAAATCCTATTACCTATTAATTATATAGCTGCCTAATTAATCCCATATCAACAAGACCTGTCCAGTTAAGGAAATAATTGGACAGTTACCTATATGAGATTAATGAGAAGCTGTATAATTATTATTGTTATTAGCTATATATGCAAATTAGTTTATATATGGATATATAGATATACTTGACTTTTGCAGAATTTTTGCAAATACAAATCAGTGATAGAGATGAAGGTGAATCAATTCCAGCAAAACCGAAACTTAACTATTATATCAGAAAAATAATGAAAACTAATACACACTAAGATGAGATAAGAGATAAAGGTACACCAATTATATTCCAAGATGATATAATCTAACTACCATGGATAATAAATGCATTAACTCACATTGTACAGTCACGTTACTTGAGCATACACTCCGATTACCAACACCATTATACACAGAAATCTTGTATGTCCCAGTATCTTGTCTTGAGGCAGTAAATGTCAGTCTGCTATTGGCGGTCAGTCTACTTCCATTAGGATGAGTCCAGATGTACTCATAAACAGGTGGGTTTCCTGTGGTGGTGACGTTAAACAAGACCTTGTCTGTTTCGTTAACTGTTGTTGTGTTAGGATGTATGTCACACGACGAAGGAACTGGAATTATTAAGAGAAGCAAGAATAATTAATTTTGAGTGCTGAAAGAGCAAAATAAGCTAAGAGACAATTCCCACCATTCCGTCTAAAGAAACATATAGGAATTGGGATCATAGGGCTTTCTGGGAAAACAATCAGAGATGGTATCCCATAATTTCTAATATGCGTTTGATATACGTTTGTACAATACGTATGAGTTTGTACAATACATATGTCTCTGATACAATAGAAGATAAGGAAGAACAAATAAGTTGCTTTTTAAGTTTTGCATTAGATATATGTATATAAATGTATACTACAACCTTTCTGCAATCAAGTGTATTGTATAGAACGGTCTGAACCCAGGACTACATCCACCCGGATGATCATAATACATCGATTAACAATCAACTGTGTATTTAACCAATTGACATCAGATTTTTATGTGTCTGTCCTCTTATTGACAATAAATTGCGTCATCACATTGTCAAAGTAGTGTGGATTCACGAGGCGTAGCCGAGTGGATCCGCATACTACTTTGACAATGTGATGGCGAAATTTATTGTCAATAAGAGGACAGACACATAAAATCTGATGTCAATTTGTTTTTTACAATAACAAAAACGATAAAAACTTCTCATTTTTAGCGATCAAAACAACCAACGGAAAGAGCGCGCGCTCGTTGACGTCAGCTTTATCTGTCTGTCCTCTTATTGATGATAAAAAATAACCAATCAGCGCGCGAGAAATTTGTAAGCTATTGTAAAAATATATATAAATCATACAATCTCTTGGAAGATCATGGCACGCGCCCCAACGTATTCATGCCGCGCAACAAAGCGTTGCAACCTTTGTTTGATGGAAAAGTACTAATAACAAAGCCTCAGTTGAGCAGTTTGGCAGCCGCATGCCGGCATTCCTCAAAATATCTTTTGAAATTTCTGTAATGTATTCTTCGATAAGACCAACAAGTTTGTATTAAAGATTATTTCTCAATTGACACGGTTTTCTTTGTTATTYACAAGGCTTTATTTTTGTTATAACCCTCATTATAAATGCGAGGTCAATATATATTCATTAACCCGGTTAATAACTATATATAGGCCGTTCGCAATCAATATATATATTCATTAACCCGGTTAATAACTATATATAGACCGTTCGCATTTATAATGAGCAACCTTTGATAGAAAACCTTCTCAATTGATAAATGAAATACTTAATTACCTCGAACGTCGGCAATAAGCCTATACATGTATATGGCTTATTGCCTCCGTTCTCGGTAATTAACTCTTACTCACTTCACCTGAGGAAACAGCGCCGTAGTGAAAATCCTATATGCCTTAGTTTATTTACTATATCCATCATTAGGATATCCATCACTAGGCATGTAGGGTCACTTTAAACACATATATGTCTAGTCCATCCAAGTACGCTTACCACGAATGACCATACAAGAGTTCAACTGTGATATATAACGTAATACCCAACTTACTTCGGGGACACTTTAACACAAGGCACCGTATACCGATAAATCAAAAATCATGCGCATATGATAAATTTAAGATATGACCTTTAACTTCTATTTATATACCAACTGCATCATTAAGTCAACTAACATGTCAGTCGATTATATTTTTAAACCTTAAGTAAATCAAACATTTTTCCTGTATTACTTGATTAGAATAGATATATTTGTACCCGGAAGTAAAATATTACTAGCACCTTATTGCCAATCAATAAATTAAATTATCTAGCCAGACGTATTTCTTTATAACACATTAGGCATATATTTAGGCAAACAGAATGAGCTTAAGCACAAAACCAGGTCCATTATATTTATTTAATTGCAAGTTGCAAGTTTCAGCCTGTAAAGCATCGTTTACTTACCATTCACATTCAGCTTCGTGTATCTCAAAGAACTGTCCCGGTCATCGTCGAACACAGTTATTCTGTAATACATCTCGTCAGTTTTCCTTGATATATTACGAAGCGAGAAAGTAATATTGAGAACATTCAAATTCGCTTGAACATCTAAGTCCATGTCAGCACCTCGTTCTGGCAGCAGTATCTCTACACCAGACGGCTTTCTTCTTATCATGTCGACGTCTCCTGGACCAGTAGTGTCTCTAATGTTTCTTGTGATATTGACGGCTACCCATGTCTTACCAGCACTAATACGAACACTCCAGTTGAGCTTTGCCGTGTCACCTTCCACAACATTTACTGTATTATCCCATTGTAGCCAAGTGAATGATCCAGCGTCTACAAACAGCTTTTTATAGTGAGCTTAATACATTACGTCTTGTTTGTTTTAGTTTAGTCATAAAGTGCTCAAAAAACAAAACTATTCCCTTACCTGAGTTACGGAAAAGCAATGCAGAAACCAACACTATTAAGATCGATTCCATACTATAAAGTAGGCTCTTTTCAGATTTTTGCAATATGTATGATTTCATAATCAAATACACGCTAGTCACAAAGTTGTCACTGTCGTCTTCAGTTGATGGTCTCGCATCACCTAACATATCATAATATATTTAAAGTGTATATGACACGAAAAAATTTTAATGTTAAGAATGTGTAGTTTATTGGCATTAATAAGAATATCGCAGTTAAATTTGTTCCAAAAACGTATTTCTCTAGAAATTCAAAAAATTTTAGCACGAGTTGTGACGTCATTTTGTTTACAAGTCTCCAGATTTAGTTGCAAATACATGAAATATGTTTGAATATAGAATCTTAATTTCAAGTAGTACACTTTTCAATTTCCCAACATTGGAAGAGTACTACGTAAGCTATCAAATGAAGCTGACTAAAATATGTCTTTTGTTGTTAATTTATATGAATTACAATTTATATTTAGTACATTACTACTGAATCTAATGGGATTAACTTTCGCAAATATCTCAAGAAATAAGCTTTTGAAACAAATTTTGTTACGATATATTTATTATTACTAACAAACTTTACATTTTAAATGATGGAATGTTTTCGTGTCATATACACTTTAAGTTGGGCTACCTATATTACAGCTATGTAACGCATTATTTTCACACAATTTCACGATACCGGATACTGTTACTTCTAAGGGAAAATGAAGATTCCAGTTATTGAAATCTGACCTGTGACCGATAGTGAGTCTAAACCTTGTCCGCTCCTGGAAGACTAAATACTAGTTTCAGATGGGCTAATGTTCGTCAATGTGATCTTCTGCAGCATGAGGACTAGGTCATGTTGATCGAACAGATTGTGAACAGGCTCACAGGAAAAAGGGTGTACAGGAAGGGGGGAGAGAAGAGATTTGTTTGTCCTTCTTCTTCCTTGACCTTTCAAATTAAAACTATGACATGGTAAAAGGAAATCTAGCGAACATTAAACTATAAAACTTGCAGTATACCTCAAGCATGATGACGTTTTAAACTACACTTCCAGAATCCCTTTCGGTAGTTTTTTGTTATGATATTTTTCATTATTGTCTTGTTATTCTCAAGTTAGTTTTAACATTTGAATACTAGAGTGCAAACAATTAATCCGCGAAACACTAATTACTAAATAGTACAAAATAGCGCTAATTAAACAATAGAAACAATGGAATTTGCATGAAATTGTGCTATTTAGTATTACTAAAGTTTCACGGTTATATTGTTTGCACTCTATGAAAACATATTTGAAAAAAAGTGTGGTTGTTAAGGTAAGAACGTCATTAGGGTTATTGTCTATGCTCCAGTTTCAAGCTCCAGTGTTGCCTGGCTCTTGAACTGATTCTGAGTAAAGATCCGCGGAATTCGTCACTATGTTTTCCATAGCCGAGTTGTGCATTTTTTACTCAAACGTAGGTATTTGAGAATACTTTGACACTAAAATAAGGCTAACACACTGAGTAAACGAGTCTGTATTATAATTAAGAAACACGCTAGCGGTATTCTACAAAATCAAAAATGGTGTATGTGATATTTGTGCATTATTTCATTTACTATTTATCAGTATTAATAAGTGATACTAACCCAAATGGAGTGCACTATATAACTTGGTTTTTGTGCAAGTATCATTATTACAATAAATATATGTGGCTAACAAATGAATAATAAATGGCTTTAAGTTCTGGTTTTCTTGTTCTTGTTATCCTACCGCGGTTGAAAGGACAAAGCTTACTCTAACAAATCAGCCTTCCTCCTAGATGGTATATATTAAAATCCAGGGTTTGGAAAGCAGGTCCGAATCCCGACTCACGAGCTTTATGTCTTTCCGAAATCCCGGGTCGCTCGACAAACGTATTCAAAGGCGTTTGAATATTATTTCATTTTATCTATTTATGTTTTCACGTTTTTCCTTAAAATCAGAACTCAGAATTGCACATCCCGGAAATTGAATTCTGCAATTCCCTAGTCACGGCCGATGTCAATATCCCGAATCCCCTAATATTTCTTTCTAGTTTCCCGGTTCCCGCGCTCATAATTTATCCGTTACCCGGCACCCGCAAATACCCTTCCAGATCCTGTCTATAATTCACTCGATTATTACAAGACTGCTTCTAAGTACGATGAATTATGTCAAAAAGAACTCTCAAGATAAAAGTGCAAAATATGAAAAGTTGCAAGTGTATCTTTAGCAATCGACGGAAAGTGAGTGTGATTAAAGAATGATGCATTTAAAGCACAAAGAAATGTCATATCCATACTGGGTTCGTGAGAGTCCTGTCTCACTGTTCTATAAAGCATTTGCTTTAGTCATCCAGAGACTGGTACTGTGGAGACACCCTTATGTTGAAGTGGCTAGCACTCTCCTGTACGTGTTGGTCTTCCTGTGGATGTCAGTACTTCCTTCTTATGGGGCAGCCGTGTTGAAGGACTCAAGGAATCGTAGTTACCAGTACGAGGCTGGATGGTCTGATAGGTGACTATTGGTGGATTTGAAACAGTCTCTGTCTGTCTATGTTGATCTGCACTTTCATACTGAGGCATGGAGTTATTCGTCTGTATACCAGAATGTGGTTGGGATAGCTGTGTTCTTGTTGTCACCGCCTCATGTTCTGAGATGCCAGTATTACTCGTCAATAATCCTCGCCTTCCTATTGGTTCATACCCTGGCACGTTTGGTGTTTCATTATCTGCAGCATTAAAACTTGTCTCTTGAAGTGAGATGTCGTTCTTTGTTCGTAAGGAAGAATAATATTTATGAATGTATAAACAGAAAGAAAAAAAAAACGTATATGGAAACGAAAGATAAAAAGAATGAATCATGAAGGAATGATGGAATGAAGGTCTGAAGATAATTCTTATGTGACTAACCATTTGTCCTTTTTCATCATTGATATTTGATCTGTGAAATTAATATTAACATTATATTAAAAAAATTATCTTAGTTTTATTAGTTATATGTTTTAGAAAAACACGTACCTTTTCTCAGAATTCATTTTTGAATCTAAAATCAGAAAAGAGTCATAAGAAAAATTAATAAAAACTATATAATATTAATTTTATCTTTTTTCTCTTTTTCCATCTTTACCCTCATGTTCCATGTGTTTGCACTCAAAATTGTTTCCCATTTCAGACCACTTGTCATTCCCTTGAAAATTAGATTCTTTGTTGGAGTGGTATCCATATTCATGTCTCTCCTCTCATGTTAAATCGAGCACAACCGTTTAACAAAGAAATGATACTCTAGGGAATGCACGTGGTCTGAAATGGGAAAACATTAACCCTCAGCCGAGGAAGTCTATATCATACCTTTTCTACGTGACCACAGGAAACCCGCAATAAATATGATGTTCAGAACAATCGACAAAGCAAACAGTACTCCAAGAACTGTAACTAGTGTCTTGTTGTCTTTATCAGTTGTTATCGACAACAAGCAATCTTTACGATCTGCGTACGATGTAAGAAAACAAGATGATTTCATATCATGATTACAATTACCAACTTTGCTTCTGTTTCAGCAAACCCGTGCCATAAATCTGTAACTCATTATTATCATTACTCACGTGTTGGTCGTCTGTAAAAATGCAATGTCCTTTCTCGTACACCAATGCTATTTTCAGCTTTACACACAATGCTTGCGCTATCCAAATCATTCTGGATGATAACAAATACGAAATACTGTTTTCCATTTAACCCTGCATCTTGGCTGGTAATGACAGTCGATATATTCGGTGCAGAAGGATTACAAGACAGGCCTAGGGATGTGGTCCTGGGATTTGCGTTGATAATAAGGTTGAACAAAACCAGTGGATTGGACTGACTGTGGCTCTTGTTACTTGATCCAATCACTTCCAAAGGATCTAAGTCTGCATGTTCAAAAAACATAAAGTCAGATTTACATCATTTGTATTATTGAAGGAGCAATAACATAGTGGTAAAAGATCGATAGTAAAAAACCGGTAAATTATCAAGGTTTACTAAATGATAATCGAAGAATGCGCGCAGGAAGAATGGAGAATAGACATAGATAACACGAGTGTAGTAGGTGTTTTAGGTTAAATCAATTAGACTTGTACATGTCTTATATTAATTGAAACTTTATTTCAATTCAAACCACAATGTCAAATATAGTTTCAAATAAAGGAACAGTAGTTGAATAATTAATTTATAAATAATATATTTAGGTCAGCATTAAAACAACTAGCAGACAGATCGTCTTTATTTACATTACATACTAACTTACATGCGAAGGATTTGGACGAGCTAAAGTAAAAATACATGTAAAATATTCAAATGAAATATACGCATAAAATATAATCAGGCTAGGTTCAGATCATTAACAGAATACAGTTGGTGTGAGATTTTCAGTTGCTCTTTCGTGGCAACCATGGCAATCGCGGCAACCACAACTGTCACGGGTTGATCTCCATCATTCGCTATGGGAATTCGCCATTACAGGATTTAGCAGCAAGTTCGCTTGACTCCGCACGTGACTACCATTAGTCCACGTTATGTTCAGTGGATCACTACCAGTGATGTCATTACATAACAAGGTCACTGTTTCTCCTTCAACCACAGCATCGTTGATCAAATCCTTACTGACGATCTTCTTCCGGTTTTCGGCTTTGGGGGGATCTAGAGCGAAAGGAAAAGTAGAAAAAAAATAAAAATAAAATAAACAATTGCTGAACAGTTTATTACTTACTAGAAATTCTCGCCCAACTGTTCATTTTTCGTACTATTTCTCATCCTTAGACATAATCAGCCCAAAGTGTTACGGGATGACCGCTTGAAGACTGCTGCTGCTGCCGTTCGTTTTATTAGTACTGACACTCAACTGGACTAACTGACTACGTTACGAGCGGTCTATATATTTATGTGTACTTAGCAATATAGAGTAGTTACGCCGATAAGATAAAAGTAGAAAGGTTTTACGCACCAAAAGCGGATTGGATAATCCTAAGTAGAGTGAACAAATAAGTTTCAATTAATTTTAAAAAAAGGGCACTAAAATGATGAAAAGGGATGAAATTCATATAATAAGAGAATGCGTTGCAAAGTAAGACTAACTATACTTGATTATATAAAATAAGTGAAGATATAGCTAAATATAAAGGTATGGTATCAATTCGATAGTCAAGGTATAATAGCGATGATATTGAACAGGTGATTCTATGTTGAATTATGCTTGCGAGGATTAAAGAAGCCTACGTGAGATATGTAATCTTTCAGTCCTGGTATCTCCAATGTAATGTATGGGTACTTCTTTTGATTTATAACCAAGACTGTTGTTTGCCGACAAAATGTAGGTTCCACTTTCCCTCTCTGTCACACTTTTGATCAGTAACGTACTTTCCAGGCCTTGAATTTTTCCATTTCTTATCCACATCATACCAGATGGTGGGTTACCATTAGCAGCAGTGTCCATAACCTTCTATCACCAACACCATTATACACAGACACATTGTATGTTACAGTATCTTGTCTTGAGGCAGTAAATATCAGTGTGCTATTGGCGGTCAGTCTACTTCCATTAGGATGAGTCCAGATGTACTCAGAAACAGGTGGGTTTCCTGTGGTGGTGACGTTCAGTGAGACGTTGTCTGTTTCTTTAACTGTTATGATATTTTTATCAGGATGTATTTCACACGAAGGAGGAACTGAAATTGTTAAAGAAGTAAGAAGAAAACGAATTTTGATAAACTTGTCCTCCTATCCCCACGTACCATTCCATTTCACTAAAAAGGTTTTGTTGCATGTTGTTTACTAAGCCTGAAATTTATTGTGGATCATATGTAAATAATGTCAGCACAGAAGAAATATGCCGGAACAACGTGAAGACAAAGTTTTTGAAAATTCCATATTACCCATACAGCGTTTCGGATTTGCTATGCAACATTCAACATTCAAAATGCAACATGCAACGAAATCCGTAAACAATCAATTTTTTTTAAATAGATATATAGGATTTGGAACGTTAATTTCTAAAACGCAGCATGTGGCAAGCTTACCACTAGTCCGCCACCGCTGTCAAATAATTGATATATCGACAAACAAATACAATGATAGGCACTGATACTTTAATTTGATGCAATGCATGATACGCTGTTCTTTGATGGGCTATTTTGTTATTGATACGTTGTACTTAAGTACTATAACTCTCATGGCCACTACTTTACATATGACCACTTAAAACCAAAGTTAATAGAAATTAACTCTGTTAAAACACATACAAACCCGGTGCATGTTTTACAGTATGCCCAACGAATGACCATTAAATGATATCGAGTTACTGTCAACATGAGAGCCTGTTTGAACTGACAGTGCATATCATTGTCCATTTCTGATGAAGGTCTATACTCGTGAAATATTTCTGAATTTTTTAAGCTTTTGAATTGAAGATCACGCGTGACTTATCAGATCGTAAACTAGTTGGCCACACTCATTACACAAGTAAATCAATCATGCATCTCATCTACCTTCATCATGTTATAATCGGAAGTAGATTAAAATGAAACAACTGAAGATCCATCGCATACTGAGGAACCAAGATGACTTTCATTATCGAAAAGCAAGTTGTTCTAATCTCAAACGTCAATCTAAACTGTCCACGATGCAGAGAAAGAAAATAGAACCTATAAGATTTAACCTTCAACTTCTATTTATATGGAAAGACCATTATTTAAGTCACTTACGTTTTAGTCGATGGTATTTCTAAACCATAGAAAAATAAACATTTTCCTTCTGTATTACTTGATTAAAATAGATATATCCCAATCTTCATTCGTACCCAGAAGTAAGATAATAGCACATTATTTCCACAATATTTACTTATGAAAAAACAAAGTATACATTCAGACAAACAAAATCTGCGTAAACATAAAACCATGGTATGATCATCGTAAGCTTGTAAGCTTGTAAGTTTCAGACCTCCAAGTTTACTTACTGACAATAGACGTTCACCTTACAGAACTCGCACAACTGTCCGAATCATCGTCGTGCACAGAATACATCTCGTCAGTTTTCCTTGATAGATTACGAAGCGAGAAAGTGATATTAAGAACATTCAAATTCGCTTGAACATCTAAGTCCATGTTAGATTCTCGCTCGGTTAGAAATATCTCTACACCAGACGGCTTTCTTCCTATTACGTCGACGTCTCCTGGACCAGCAATATTTGTAGCGTTCCTTGTGATCTTGACGGAAACCCATGTCTTACCTTCCACAACATTTACTGTATCATCCGAATGTAGCCAAGTGAATGATCCAGCATCTACAAACAGCTGAATATCAGCTTGACCCTTAGACCCGTTACGTCATAAAAACGTATAACTTATTTCCTTGTCTGAGGAAGGGAAAATAAATAAAGGGGGAAAAAAAACTATTACCAGCGATTCCATACTAAAAAGTAGACTTTAACGATATATCATTTTATAATCTTTATGATTTCATGATCAAATACACTTGGATCACAAAGCTGTCACTATCGTCGCATCTTCAGTTGAGGGTCTTGCATCACTTAACATATTATAATATATCTAAGTTGATCTATCTATGTAAGGCTATGGAAAGCAATATTTTCACCCCATTTCACACTGATACTGCATGGAGCTTTTAAGGGGTATTTGGATTCGAGTTGTTGAAATCCGAGTTATGAGATTCAAGTACAGATTACTGAGTCTGAGCTAAGATCGTGGTCGCTCTTTCAGACAACTAAATACTATTTTCAAAATGGCTAATCTAAGTCAATGTGATATTTAGGAGCATGAGGACCAGGGCCCAGTTACATAAAGAGATGTAAAAGCTTAAAAACACTCGTAAGTATTGTCTTAGTACAATGGCCTATTGTTTTGGAACAATACTTACGGATGCTCTTATCTTAAGAGAGCTTTATGCAACCGGGCCCAGGTTATGTTGGTTGACCGGATTGTGAGTGAATAGGCTCTCGGGAAAAAGGGTGTACGGGAATTGGAGAGAGAAGAGACTTGTTTGTCCTTCTTCTTCGTCAAGCTTTCAACTAAAAAATATGACATGGTAAAAGGAAATCTACGGACATAAAACTGAACCTGCGATTGATATTTGTGAATTATTTCCTTTATTGTTATAAGTATCAATAGGTGAATGCAATCCAAATGGAGTCAACTATATAGTTATTGTGTCAACATACTGTATTAAATGTATGTGGTTAACCGCAAATATGAATGAATCGCATTTTAGAAGACCTTATTTTTTTCTTGGGTTTCTTTGACATTGATATATGCGTATGATTTATTTGATTATTACAAAACTGCCTTTAGGTATGATGAATGTGTATAAAAGAATCGAAGAAAATAGCAAAATGTGATCAAATTAAATTGCAAGTGTATCTTTTATAATGGAGGTGCGAGTGTGCTATCAGTAATGATACAAATGTCCCGCATATCATTTACACTATTAGTAGCATTTAAAAGCACAAAGCAATGCCTCATCAATACTGTTCTCTTTTGGTCCTTTATTCACTTAACATTTGCTCAAGCCATCCAGAGACTGGTACTGTGGAGACACACCCTTGTGTTGAAGGGCCTGGTACTCTCCTGTACGGGTTGGGCTTCTTGTGGATGACAGTACTGTACCCTTATGGGGCAGCCGTGTTGAAGGACTCAGTGAATCATAGTTACCAGTACGAGGCTGGATGGTCTGATAGGTAACTGGTGGTGGATTTGAAACAGCCTCTGTTTGTCTATGTTGCTCTGCACCTTCATACTGAGACCAGTACACCAGAATGTGGTTGAAGTGGTCGTGTTCTTGTTGTCACAGCTTCATATTCTGGGATACCAACATTACTCGTCGATAATCCTCGCCTTCCTATTGGTTCATATTCTGGCACATTTGGTGTTTCGTTATCTGGAGCATTAAAACTTGTCTCTTGAAGT